AAAAAAAAAAAAAAAAAAATCACCTCCTCAAATGCATTATGCTGAGCTAAAGTCATCAGACTCGAAAAGTTATATACTATATGATTCCACTCATATGACATTGTGAAAAAGGCAAAACTATAGGAACAAAAAACAGATCGGTGGTTGCCAGGGCTGGGAAGAGGGCAATGAATGACCTGCAAAGAGGCACAGGGAATTCGTCTGGAGTAACACGATTGTCCTATATTTTGATGGCAGCAATGGGTACCCAAGTGTGTTTGTCAGAACTCACAGTACAACAAAAAGGGTGAATTTTACTGTATGTAAATTATACCTTGATTTTCTTTTTTAAAACAAGAATAAAATTTCCTTTGCAGGAGGCAATACTCACAAGCCCCCATGTTACACCTTGAGTTAGAGCTCTTCAAAACACTCTTCACATCAAAATTCTGGATTCTTCTTTTCCCACAGCCAAATATAAATTGCTACTTTGGCATTTCCTGCCAGACTTCTCTATCAAGTCTTCCTAGTGTCAAAGGCAGGATCGCTGTGACTCCAGAAAACATCTGTCTTCCTTCCTCACGAAATGCCAACTGACGCCACTAGCTGAGTCGAGCAATGGCAAAAATGCCCTGGCCGCCCTGGGAAGTATTTCACATCCTGAAGACTCAGGACTGCGCTCTTCCCCTCACTACCCCACCATTATCCCTGGTGCTAATCTGATGTACAGACATCAAAGATTAAGAGGCCAGCCTCAGACTTGAATCCTGGGCACATCCAGCCATTGACAGAGACTATAGGAATCTGTAAAGAGAGCCAGAATTTGACTACAGAGCTGAGCTGCCTGGCATTTTACACCTCCCATTAAACTGCAGTGTGCCAGCTAAGCAAATTCTAGTTTTTGTTTCGTTTTGTTTTGTTTTCAACATTTGGTTTGCACCTGCACTCCTCATTAATAGAGACACAGTTACAAGATTTTGGTATACATCTGTTTTCTCCTCATTAATAGGGATGCAGATGCAAGATTTGCCAATGTGTTTGCTTTTTTGCTGGCTCCAGTCTTTAATTTCCTGATGAAAAACATAAATAAATACAGAGTGAGCTACAACTTAACACTTCAGGTTGGCCTTCCTGGCGGTTCCCTGATTTATGGAAAAAGAAACTTACCTGTTTGGATTCCTAACTGGCTGGTTCTGGAAGAGGCTGAGAGAAAATCCTGATCCCAGATGGGAGAGTTTTGACTATAAACTTCTTCTTCTAACATGGACAGAAACCTAGACACAAGAATAAAAGTAATAGTA